ATGTAATTATTATGTATTGCAAACATATATTAAGAAAAAAAAGAAACATAAAAAACCAGAATGTATTGAAGATGGTGCTTAATGAAAAGATTCAGATATAGGACTTCAATTCATCATAATATTTAGAAGTATAATACTCTTTTTGTTTATACTAAAATTGCTAAATTGAACAATAAGATATGAAGACAAATGCAACTACGCAGATAGGTGTGTAATTTAACTATTTTATTTTGGCTTTGAATAATGTGCAAGTTTGGGCCTATGTCACCCCCATCCACCATACACAAACTTTCCAAATATTTACGGACATTTTTTATCCCTGCCTCAGAAAGAAGCAACATTTGCAAAAGAAGATCTAGGGACTATTGTATTAATCATGTGGTGATCAACAGAAAAATACTTTTAAATAAAAATGTTTTGTTGTTGTTGCAGTACTGATTATTGGACCCAGGGCCTTTGCACTGAGCTATATCCTCAGCCCTTTGCAAATTACAAAAAAAGAAAATACTGAAAAGGAATATAAACATGAAATCTTATACCCCATTACACTGTCTCCCTGGCTAGATCTGTTGATTTTTCCAGAATGTCACTCTTCCCCAATGCCTTGACTGAAACGACTTGTTCAACTTCTGTCTGACCTTCCAGATTTAGCTCATTTATTGAAACTTTCATAAGGATTTTCCACTGGTAAGAATGAGTGAACTAGAGCTATCTGAGCAATGAGGAAGCTGTTGCAGTGGTCCATGAATACTTAAACCTGATCTAGACAGTAGTCCTGGGCTCCAGAGACATGGGCAAGGTTGCTACAGATGGGTAAGCACAGGTGACAGAGAGGAAGATCCCACGACTGGCACCACAGCTGATATAAGGACACACACACACACACACACACACACACACACACACACACACAGAGGCACGATTTCGTAGGTATATGTTTTATGAGACTTAATTCATAGACAAAATGTGCAGATTCCCTGGTCTTCTGCCATTGGTTCTCTTCTATCATTGGTTCCTTTGATATGCTCTACTGAGCATTGCTAAGGGGCTCCTCCTTCCCTCCCTAGGTCTGAGCCCAGCTTCTTACCCACCCTACTCGACTGTATCCTTCATAGTCCTGTGCCTTGAAGTTTGGGATCACACCTCTGGGTTTTTTCTTTTGTTTCTTTCTGTTGCTGTTTGTAAGCACAGAGAGCCTTGCCTAAAAGGCCATCGAGGTTGTGGTGTGCTGTTAATACCGCGCGGTGAGCCCTTCTGGGGGCAAGGCTGCACTATGCCGAAGTAGCTTCCTTTACATTCTGAATGCCTCTCTAAAAGGCATAGTCTGTAAATTTTTGTTAATGTGAAAGGAGAACATTCGGGCACCTTTTCTGTGTTGCTGATGTGTAGAGCTATTTTTAATTTTGATCCCTCGCTCTTTTCTCTGTGCTTGTGAATTTTAAGGTGCCAGACTGACTGCCCTCGAGGCTGGTGTCCCCGATTTATCCCAAGGATAGGAAAAATACAGAAGGCGGCAAGGCTGCTCATGGCTCAGTCCAGCGTACTAGCCTCAGCCACTCTGGAGGAATAATCTCCCAAACATAAAGGAAATACCTGCTCTTGTAGCTGAGAAGACAAAACCTTGTTGTACCATCACCAAGCACTGTAGTATTTTTGTTTTTGTTTTTTTTTTTTTTTTTTTTTTTGGTTTTTCTCCGGTACCAGGAACCGAACTCATGACTTTGCGCTTGCCAGGCAGGCGCTTTGCCGCTGAGCTAAATCCCCAGCCCCACTGTAGTGTTTTTGCATGCTGGAAGCCACAGATACACATTCCTTCTTTGGAAAAAAAAAAAAAATAGAATGTTTTTCTCTCATCCCTTATTACCTGTCAAAATTCCGTTCTTTAAAGTCAAACTTGAAGGTCTGTTTCTCTACAAATCCTTTATTGACCCATCTTGGATATGATTTTTCCTTTTATATGTTCACAGCAATTTCTTCTAACATGGTGCATGTTTTGTCATGTGATTTTGGATGCATGTAGTCTCTGACTCTGTGTGTGTGTGTGTCCTTATATCTGACCCATTCCTGGTTACCACACAGAAGCAGACTATAGTACTGGACAGAGAGTAGACACTCAGCATATCTGTTAAATAGATGAACAGTTTCAGAGCTTACTTTCTACCCTAAACTTGCCCTTTAAATCAGTTCTGAATTCTTTTACCATATCTTCATGGATAGCTATCAAACTCTCCTTAAGCCATGGAGGCTCAAGCTGATTCAGACATTGCACTTTGTATATTCATGGCCTAGGTAAGTGGTGCAAAACCTATTGTACATATGCCTCAGCATCACTGAAAGCTGTAAAATGTAAAAGGTTTGCCCTCACTGGTTTAGATCAAACTGACAGGTCTGTGTGCCTAGCAGACCACCATGACCACCACTAGGGGATACCATTTGGCTAGAATTTGTTTTGTTTGTTTTGCAAAGTTCTATCCACAGATGGGGTGGTGATATCTTGTTATGTGATCCATTCTTACTTCTAGAAAGCCAAAGGTTAATATAGAAAAACAATTTTCTTGACCTGCATTTAACAAGTTTACAATGTGATTTTACAATTTTTGTAGAAATCCTGCATGTACTTAATAATCACATGGATTAGTGATTTTGTTTGGCCTTTGATCCCCAATATTTTATCTGTAATGAAATGCTGTCATTTGGTGACAGGAAGGTCTCAGAATTTTAGTGTAGTTTTCAAACAAAACCTTTTCACTTGGGCTGGGGATTTAGCTCAGCGGCAAAAGCACCTGCCTGGGAAGCGCAAGGTCGTGAGTTCGGTTCCTGGTACCGGAGAAAAACCAAAAAAAAAAAAAACCTTTTCACTTTATAGTAAACAAATTAAGTTTTGGGTTTTCCAGACTAATCAAAAAGATGCTGTCATATGAATTAACTTAACTGTCTTACTATAAACAAGGAAAAAGAATGCTATTTTAAAGGTATCTTTCTAAAGTACACATCTTATTTAAAAAGTGTACAGCTCTTGGGTAGAAGTTTGTAAGCCCAATCATAAAGATTATTAAAATCTTATACAAAAGTTGTATCAAATGTCAAGAACATGATGTGGCTCCTTCATAATAATGTCAGCTCTAGCAGAGAAGGCTCAGTTTTTCAGAGCTTAACTATTTTTCCAGCACTTGATATTTCTTATTCCTTAGAAAAAGTAATGATGGATAGTTTGAGCTTATTTAAAAGACACATTCCAATCCCGTAATAGAATATGAAGAAATACTCTCTTGGGCCAAATGCAACCAGAGAGAATTAGAAGTATATTTACCTATTTTTTTCCCAAGTTGAAACGTTTAGTCCTTTCATTTTTTTGAGTGTGAAACGGTTGTCAATCCACTGTGATGGAGTGCTGAAAGCAGTCTTCAGTGAGAAATCTCTCCATCGCGATCCATAATGCCGAGTCTGTGTTAATCCTGATGCACACAACCGGAAAGAAACAACATCGCGTAGTGGATAAGAACTCAGGAACTGAAGGAGGACTGCCTGAGTTTGATCATGCTTTGCCATCTTTTAGGACTCCTCTGTCCTCACCTGCATGGTAGAAATAATAACAATATCTACACAGAAGTTGTTATTAATATATGGGGAATGCCAAGAAAAATGTCTGGCTTGCATGGAACTAGCTTTGTTATAAGTTATGTGCAAAAGCATGACAATTATTGCTGACGTTCCCCGTGGTCTGTAATTATCTGTTGGGGCTTTTAAATTTAGAGACAAAGGGTAAGGAGGCAAACTTGATGTGGACTTGACCTCTGACTCAAGATTCCTATGATGGGGTCAAATAGAGATATCAATTCCAACCAGCACAGTGTCTCTTTCTTCCTAAATTATATTTTATTGTTGCAATGTAAAACAGTGTGTGAAACCTAACTTTACGTCCATGTATGGGGCAGATGTCCATTAATCAATTTAAGAATGCTATAATTTTGCAGAACACTAGGTAGTGGTTCATGACAGGACCAGGGACATGAGGGACTCAACACCCCACGGTACTTGAAAACTTTATATGATTTAGGGATGTTCAAACTCAGACCATATGTAGAGGCTGTGCTAAGTGAATTGTAGTGTCTTAAATGATGTCAAGTCCAAGAGATGAGACTTCTTTCATGAGGCCCCAGAAGTCAGAATGAGGGCTTTTAGGTGGCAGTTGGAATGAAGATGCATGCTGGCTCAATATTGTGGAGAATTTCCTTAACAGTCAGAGTGGTCTGGAAATAAGAGTCTACCTTGTGGTCTGCCTACTCCTGAGGGCTCACTACAGAGGTTTGACCTCCAGAGCTTTTGGCAAAGGAAGCACGGTTTGCGTTGGACCCGGATCCCTCACATTCTAACTGCATAGAGTCTCCAAGGAAAAAGGCTTTTCTGGGCTGTTTCTTAGATTATACCTTTCAGTCCAAACATCCAAAGCTATGTTCCCTTTATTTATACCTGTAAGTAAGGTTAGAGGCAGAACACTGGTCTCAAAGTCAGAGACCTGAGTTCTATCGTACCACTTTGTCTGGGACCTTTGGTCAGTTGCCTCAGTTGACTCATATAAAATCCTATTATTGGGCCTGGAGTTTTAGCTCAGCAGCGCAGTGCCTGCCTGGCAAGCGCAAGGTCGTGAGTT